AATTGACTTCCGCTTCTTCATCCGGAGACGATCTTAACGGGATTAGCCAGCTCGCCTGTTCGACGAAACGGTTATCAGCAAGACACTCATGAGAAATGAGAATTGCAACGACAAAACGAATTGACTGATAAGAACAATAAAGTTGAAACGAAGCTATGTTCTGAAATGTTTGTACATTTCCCTTTTTCACGAAACAGCGGGAGGGCATACATTCATGTTTTGCTTGGCTTACATAAGTTGTGACAGAATGTTTTCTTCGGGAGAACTCCGAAATTGCACCCAGAAAGCTGTAACATCTTTCCCACGCGAAGAGAATGTCCTTCACTCATGAGCTGGCACCCATTTTTTAACTTTTAAAGCAGCGAATGTCCGTGACAATTTTTTTTCGTTGGTCACCTCGTACGGATATAGGCAAAACCAATGCGTTTCGGAGAATTTGTCTGCCAGCGGAGACTCCGAGCTCGCCAGGGGCGCTGCAATCACTTTTCGCCCGTTTTCCGCGGGAGTTGCCAGTATTGGCTTCCACGGTATTTGCTTCTACTACTTCTATCTTAAAGGGACCATGAAATGACCTTTTTACTTTTTCCAGATAACTTTTACATTAAACCGTCAATGTTCACTGAATGCCGAACAGGCATCCGTTTTCGTCTCGGTTTATTAACTTTTACACAAAAAATTATTGAAATATCGACTTTTTCATTCTCTCCAACTGACCGCAAAAGAAGCCGTGACGTGAACCGTTTCCGGAACCGGAAGTTCTCTCGGCAGTAGGAGAATGGGAGTGTTAGCGGCAACGAGTTGGGGTGCGCCGGTAGGTTTTACTGCGCTGATGTCACCGACGTATTTCCTGAATCGGCGCCTCTCATCGCCGCATCGCAGCTGAGCGAAATTCAATGAGATATGTTGCGCTACAGCGACAGCATGGGACTAGTCCCATACGCCGGTATGCCTGTTGGGAAGTGCAGCGAGTCTTGTCACCACCCCGTCATTGTTGGCAGAAGGGCCGGCCCGTGTCAGTCGTTTGCAAAGCGACGTAGATGGCGTTTTTCGCGGCCTCGGAGATGCAGGAGCGAGCCGACGTTAAAGAAGATACGTTTGAACTACGAGTGTCAGCAAGAGCCACGTAAATACCTGCTTACACTCGGAGCGGACGCGCGCGCTTGATGGAAGTCTTGTATTCGCGCTGTTGGTAAGCGCTTCGGGACCGTTCTTTTACGATTGCAACTCGATACTGACGCGACACGCGGCAAAGAAAGGTTGGACTGGGGTCGACAGTGACGTGCAGTCTGTCAGAATAAAAATGGCATACCAATAACAAAGTGTACATACCGTGTTACGAAGGCAATCCATACGGCGTTTATTTCAGCTCTATATCACACAAAACAAGAAGATAGAATCGACGAGAGTCCCTTTTCGACGAGTGTTCGTCAACACTGCCTCGGAAAACAAGGGGAAGAGATTGACCTCCTCACCTCTTAATCTAGAATTGAGGTCAGTGATCAAACTATAATACGGGAAGGGTCCACAAGGGTCGCGCGGGCATATTCCATTTAGCACGCCAGCCGGTCGTAGGCAGACGGTCTTGCGACGAAGCAACGCAGCCGACGCAGCGCCGAGTCGGAATGCCTGCTAGGCCTATACGCTTCGTCGGAGTCGGTGAATCCAGCGTTCTTGTTCGTCGTGGTCTGTTTTAAGTACTGTTTTCTTGCTGCTTGAAGTCGGCACGCGCGGGAAGAACACGTAGAAAAATAAACGTTCAGTCAGTCAGAGTTTTGAGAGGAAGGAAAACAAAGAAAATAAATGTTCGTCGGTCGCCGTCACCCAAGTAACTGGCGGCCCTGCCCTACTGCGCACGCGCAGTAGTTGCTTCGTTTACCACACGATAGATGGCGCTTGGCTCTCAGCATTATCAAATTTGGCAATTTTCGCCACACATCTCTAATTATGCTACAAAATGTGGATCTGAATATTATTTAACAAATCTTTTAGGAAACATTCGCCGGCTATTTATTGTTTACGATCGCGGTGCTGGTGAGGTAGGCTCTTACCCAATAGGCGATGTGGATTCGGCTGACGTGCACCGATTCTGCGTATGCATCGTAGTGAACAGGCGAAGGAAGGAAGGCGCAAAAGAGTCCAGTTTTCTTTTAAAAGTTCTATAGCAAATAATTTTTTTGGGCTCCCTATTTTTGTGTTTTTGTGTTTCTTTTCACACCTTTTACGACGTGCGGTGGATGAAACTCGATTTTAAAATCATTTCATGGTCCCTTTAAATGAAGCGGACGCGATGCGGTAGTTGCGCTCCACGGTTGTGGCAGAGACGTTTTCTCATGGGAAACTTTTGGAACACCGTAAAATGCTGTGCGTGCCCTATACTGTTTGTAAAGTGGGCTGGTTTAGCAGCTGTCGATGATGCCCAAAATGTTTTAGAGCCCAGCTCTAGGCGCCCGTTTCCGGCTTGAGCGGCGTCGGCGTCGCCGTCGGCGTCCGCATAACCGCGCAGTGCATTGTGGGTAAATTTCCCCTCTAAATTTAGCTGGAAATTTTTCCCGCTAATTTTAGCGGAAAGATTTCCCCGCTAAATCTAGCAAAAAAAATTTCCCCGCAAAACTTAGTGTGAAAAATTTCCCGCTAAATTTAGCGAAAAGTTTTCTCCACTAAATTTAGCGAAAAATTCTTTCCGCTAAATTTAGCGTAAAAAATTCCCCGCTAAATTTAGCGGGAAAAACTCTCGGCCAAATTTTGCGGAAAATTTTCCCCTAAATGGGAGGCGAGCAGGAGAGGAGGGCATAGCCTCGTCTCCGTACCTTCCCCTCCCCCTCCTCAAGAGCTGCGCTCTAATTTGGAGTTACAGGGGATTGTAAACGTCTCATTTTTTTAATTGTAACCTTTAAATTTGTCAATTTAGAAGGTTAACTGCTTAGAAACATTTGACAACCTAATTAATCCGAGCGTTAATAATTTTATTAATAGGCTCTTCAAGAAAAAAAAATGTATATCGACCTTTCTTTTCTTTTTTTTTTTCGTGCGATTTTGTCGCCGTTTCACCGGCTCACTTTTGCATGGCTGATGAATGCGCGAGCGCTGAGTTCCCAACATATTTTTAACTTTGTCCAACGTGCGCCCTCACAGTAACGCACAAGAAATACTCTCTTAGCTTTGCATACCACGTTAAAGACAAATGCATAAAAACTGTAAACGAGGTAAAGTATCTGGGCCTACATCTTAATTCAAAATTAAATTGGGAAACCCATATAGATAGTACAACCGCAAAGGCTTACAAAAAGTTGTGTTACTTAAGACGGAAGCTGGGACCATGTGACTCGTCGGTAAAACTTTCGGCATATAAAAGTTTGATTCGGCCAGTGCTAGAATACGCGTCCATTGTGTGGGACCCGTACTTAATAAAAGAAATTGGAAAAGTCGAGAGAATCCAGCGCCTCAGTGCACGATTTATTTCTTCCGATTTTAGGCGCCTATCATCAGTGTCGGACATGATACGTAATTGCGGACTCTAATCGCTCGAGTCTAGGCGGAAGATTGCTAGGCTGGATTTTTTTTATAAAGTCTACAATAATGAGTCCGGCCTGGACAAAACCTTATACCTTTTGCCACCTCCCCAGCGCTCTGCAAGATTGAATCACGCAAAAAATGTGAGACCATATGCTCCTAAAAATAACACGTTTAAATACTCCTTTTTTGTACGTACGATTAACGACTGGAATTCACTGCCCTCCGATTGTGTGCATGCCCCAAATATTGACTGTTTTGACTGTTGTGTTCGAAACCTTATGTAACCGATTGTGTGCATGACCCAAATGTTGACTGTTCTGACTGCTCTGTTTGAAACCGTATGTAACCCTTTCCTGCTTGGATGGTGAAAAACCATCTGCAGTATTTTCTAAATAAATAAATAAATAAAAGTAAGCAGTATCGATGCTCCTGCTACAAATGTTTGTTATTACAGTCCGATTAAAGGAGAGCTGATATGCATTTCCAAATGATCAGTAAATTTTTAGAAGCACACATCGGAAAATGTGCACGGCACACGTGAGCGGATCGAATTTTGAAGAAGCGTACAGCTCGCCCCTAGCCTCATTAATATTTTAGGCGATTTAATTATAGCAGCGCCCAACTATAAAAAAAAAAAAAAAAACGCATTTTTTATTGCGGGACGCATTCACATTTTTAAAGACTGTCTGTTTTGGGTTTTTAAAAGATATGTGCGGTTCCAATTAAACTTTGGCTATTATCTAAGATTATAGCTGAAGTTTCATGTACTGCACAGAGACTTGTCCGCGTGCTTTATTTAAATCTGGGACCAAAGGGCTCTTCAACCTCAAATTGTGGGCTTCACCTAGAGGCACCTAGTGCATATCAACGTAACTGTGATCTGTGTATGGTTTCGCGACCTCAAGAAGTTTATTAGGCCGAAAGGAAAGTGTGTAAATATTTACCTGTTAGTGAATGCTGCAGAAGAAGTGGGAACTATAACAATCCTAATTTTGCTATCATTTGTGTTTCTTTGTTAACAAACATATCAAGTTTTTTTTTTTTTTTTTTTTTTTTTTTTTTTTTTTTTTTTTTTTACATGGCACGCGCGTTTTTGTGGTTTTAGGATTCTGGTAAGAGTGCGGCGGTCCAACACGTTACTGTTCTGCAAGTCTATATACTTTCGAACAAAATATAGCTCGGGTGACCTTTTAATGTAATTAAGTGCGTAGATTTGTTTAAGCGCTAGTTATGCCAACCCTGATTTTCAGCCATGTATCGAAGTTTCTAAGATACATTATTTAGTACCTGTATCAAGTGCATGTGATGGGCCGGAATCCAAAATATACTTTTTGAGGGTATCGATATCGAAGACACAATTTCCAAATATTCAGCCCCGATTTCCCCGTGTTTCTGGGCACTGAACACCTTGTGCCGGAGTATTAGGACACCTGACCGGTGCGCGCTGTGGTGCGGTCGGCGCGCAGCGGCCGGCGGACCCACGCGCGATCCCACGAAGCTCGCCCACGCGGGAGTGGGACGTCCCACGGAGACTGCGCCCAGTGGAGGAGCGCTCCCCTCACGCGCGCTGCTTCCAGTCTTCCCGAGGACTGCCGTCTCGAACTGCGGTCATGATCCTGGACGGCGGGAACAGGTGGGAGACCAGCTTCTGTATTTTGCTCTTGCAAACCACACGCGGACGAGAATAACGCCGATAACCTCCGAAATTCCGCGCGGACGTTCTGGATCGTGCGCTGCTCCGAGTGGTTCGAAGTTTCGCGCGATCGTAGCGGACGCCGAGGCGGACAAACCAACGATGAGAGCGGCCGAGGTGAACACAGTCGTTCCCTGTTTACCCGCTGGCGACACAGACAACGGGCATATTTCGAGAGAGCTTGAATTACCTCGCGGAAATATAGGACAAGCGCGCACAGCGGGCGAGTTTCCATATAAGGCGCCGCGCGGCAGCGCTCGTCGGTATCGGGTGTTGGGAACAGCCCTTCCGCTTTTCCGGAACCCCGAGAAGTAAGAAGTCGAGCTCCGCGGGCTTCGCGCGTCAACTAGGGCCGAGCTCGGGCGCTGAGCTGTCTGAGCGCATCCCGACGGGACAACACATCTCCCGTTGGTCATGACGCCACTCGGAAAAGAAAAAAACATCAACAAGCAAATGCGCTAGAGCTCCCGCTTCCGGTGACGTCACGGGCCGCCATTTTGAGTTTGGGGTGTTGCCGTGAGAGGGCTATCGCTGCTGTCCGAAGAGACCCAAGAGCGGACAAGTGCAGGTGAGCTACCCTTTGACAATTTTTCCCCGTCAAAACAAACCGTCGGGACGGTTGGCGTTTGCTGTGTTGAACTTGTCACAAAGATTGGCGCCTTCTCGGTCGATCCGGAGGCGATCGGAAGAGGGGCGAGCGCGCTGGCGGCCGCACTCGCGGCAGCTGGGCTCTCGAGCTCGGCGCTCGGCCTTGTCTAGTCGCTCGCGCTTTCTGCGAAAGCACGGAGTTAACGGCGTCGGGACTCTTTCCGAGCGTGCCGGCCCGCGGCCTCGGCGTTGGTACTCGTCGCTCGAGCGAGCCGACGGGGCGAGCCGGGCGCGACGTCGCCCAAGGGTGCGAGTACCACTTGGCCGCTGTGCCAGTCGCAGTGCCCAACTTGCCCGCGGGGCTGGCAAGCGATTGTTCACGTTGGGACCGCGATGACGCCCTTGTCGCGCTGTTCGAGCGCCTAGAGTGTACGCGCGGGAGAAAAACTCGCCGACCGGTGTCTGGACGGAAGCTTCGCTATCAGTTCCATACTATCGCGGCGCCGGATGTATCGGGCCCACTCGATGAACTCACGGGCTTTTCCGTGATCCGGCAGACCCCTCGTGGAGGGACGAGACCGTGTTGTTATTGACAACGTTGCTGTTAATCCCTCGTCCCCACAGTGGGCCCCTCTGAGCCCGGGGCTGGGGGTGTCCCCACCAGGGGCTCTCGTGGACACATTTCGTGCACCCGCTGTTCCCTTTCCATGCTCACACTCTCGCCGTCTGTCCCCTCCCCCCCCCCCCCCCCCCCGTCCCCCCCTTCCCCCAACGTCGCTATTTGTACAGCGCGACCAGTCTACGCGAGAAACACTGCGGAACGAAGCACCTGCTTGAACATTATTTGTCTTCCTACGGAATGAAGACCGCGGTGCATACAAGAGCATGCGTCTCCATCTCAGGACCTTGCTGACCAGAGGCGTACCAACTTGTTTCTGAGTAGGGGGAAACCAGACCCCCTCCCCAGGGCAGGGGGCCAGTGCCCCAGGTATCCTGGGTGGGGGGGAGCGGGCGGGGGCGGGCGCAAAACACATGCCTTGCCCCCGCACTGTGAGAACTTAAGGGGGCAAACGCCCCCCTTGCTTCCCCGGTTGGTACGCCCGTGTTGCTGACGTTTGTTTGGCCCTGTTGTGTGCTTGTGCGTCGTCTGTATTGGTTGAAAGATGTCATATTTGGCGAAGTGACGCTTCACACAATTTTTCTCCTGCCGTAGGATCTACGGTGACGACCTTGATTTCCGTCATCAGCTTAAGACGATGACTACCTTCTTTATTGAACGTAGTTGCTCACTCGGCCTTATGCACACACTTAACATTCCCTCCCTCTACACCCAGGCTCGGCAAACTAATCATGGACGTCGCTTCCCACCTTGTAGACTTTAAAGCTGTTTCTAAAGCACCCGCCCCAACATATCGTCGACAGCCCAACTTACGATCTTGTCTAGTATGCAGCTACCATTCCACAAAATCTCCGACTTCGCTCCCCTGTACCACACCATGCGACACCCCTAAATGCCTTGCGTGCAAACACACCAACCCTTCTCCCAACATGCTACTGAGAGTCCCTGACAATTACGCCTCTAAATCTTCTTATCTGTTATACATTGTTTCCGCACACTCTGTCCGACCTTATACATCGGAGAAACTGACCGCCGACTCCACAAACTCTTCCGAAAACGCCGCAGACCTGTCACACTAGAAAGAGTGGGCCAACTTAAACATGACCTCTTCACACACACTATTTAAACACTTCTCCTTCACAAATCATTCCAAACTCAACGTGCGAATACGCATCGTCAAATCAGGCTTTCACACACCCACCTCATGCAAAAAGGAAGAAAACTGATTAATTTTCAACCTAAGGGCGCAATTCCTTTCTGGTCTAAACAAGAACCTTCCTTTCGGCATTTATACATCCCCCTTTTGCCCGCTCCTCTCTCTCTCTCCTTCCCTCCCTCCCTCCCTCCTTTTTTTCCTTTTTAGTTTTTGTTGATAATTTGGGTGGTCATGTCCAAACGTGACCACCCTTGCTCGCATTCCTCCACTTCTTGACTTAGAGACCTCTTGCACCTTACTTGACAACTTTTCCTCCTTCCTCTCTGACTTCATGATGTCACATCTGTCACGTGTTACCTCCGCCTTTTGTACATACGTTGTAGATATATTTTGATCTGTCACCTCCCCTTTTGAGTATACCTGAAGAAGGCTGGTTGAAAGGTCATTCCCCTCCTTTCCTCTGGCACCTCTTTCCCTTCACAACCCCAGCGTCATGCACTCTGCCTTTTGGCGGGGCGCCTCCTTTCACTGACTTGGCCGACGGCAGCTCGCATGTGCGGATCGCGCTACCTTCGTGCACCGTGCTCATACAAAGGCAGGCTGTACACATGACTCACATAGCATAATTTTCTAGTGATGGTGCTCATTCCTATTTAAAGGGATACTTCAACGAAATTTGAAATATTCCCGTCGTGTTCAAAAATAGGTTGAATATGATCCACAATATCCGTAAATGACAACGCACATTTGTATTTTGAGCCTGGTGGCTGTATTTTTCGTTATAAACGGCCCACTCTGGCAAGCGCTCGGAGAAGGCCCAGCGGAGACCACGTGACATCCAACGCAATCGTGACGTAGGTCGTCTCAGGATGAGCAAAGCTACGGCGAGGCTGACGTCGAGAGGATGTCCTAGTCGTTCCAGCCACCGAAGCGGCTGCTTTTGTACGAATTTTGAGTGACGGGTTAATCTTCTATAATCTTGTAGGGGGACAATAGCGACTTCTGCGACACACAAAAGGCATTCTCGGGAAGAGGGGAGTTCCTCCTGCCCCTCTTCTGTCGTCGTGGCCGGAGGCGAGACAACCTCCGTCACTAGCTGTCAAGGTTCCTAGACGAGCATTACAAACGAGGCGTTAGCGACATCCACCAGGTGCTCTTTGCTAATCGTTTAATTTGTTTTAAAATTCCTTTTCGTGACTTTTTTAACAAAATATTGGTATGTTGAATGTGATTCTGCTCCTTTGAACACATATAGACCAAAAAATGAGCGCCGAAATTTCATTGTAGTATCCCTTTAAAGGGCAACTCCTCTCAATTTCCAAGATTTCGGGATAATGAGGAATTTCGAATTAAAGAGCCCAAGTAAAAGACACTACGTCTTTTGCTTCATGAAAAACAGGATAGATATACTTTTAAATCTAATTTTAAACACAAGCAAAAATCAAAACTTTAGCTCCATCCGGCATTTGATAAACGCCAAGAACACAACTATTATGTGGTACGAGACATCATGTGATCCTCTACCCATCGAAGGGCGGGATTGGGGTGGGCGTGTGTCAGGCGCAAGTGTCATCTGCACTGCACTCTTCACTGCACGTTTGGGTGTCTAAGACATTCGGCAATGTCTGCACAACTCCGGCATAAGTCTGCGCACATAGTGTGCATAGTGTGGACAAAACTCTGAGAGACAGTAATACGGTGAGACGGCGACGGCGGTTCTGATATGGGAGACAGCGGTAACGGCGGGACCACGGCGGGGCAGCCGGATGGCTCCCAAGAAGCATGCTGCACAGGCGTGCCGAGAGGAAACATTCCTGACGTCACCAAATACGCTTGCCCAGAGAAGTAAAAACAAGCAAAGGGGGGCAATGGGGGTGACGTTTCACTCAATGTTGACTACGCCCATGCCATAGACTTGACTGCGCCTGTTGGTTGCGCCTCAATTCGCCTGCTCGAGTCAGCCGATTTCGGCAACTTGGCGAGTTGCAATGTTTGTCGGACCGTATAAGAAACATTTAGACAGAACTACTTCGTAATATTTTACGCGTGGTCTTCCTAGGTGATACTGAAGGGGACTGCATTGTTTTTTTTTAAAACAAGAATGAAGCGGAGTTTTAAGGCCCGATCACACACTTGCAACTTCTTAGAACCTAGTGCCTTGAAGCCCCTTAAAATCTCTTACCACGAGAGGACACGCTGGCACCACCTATCGGGTAGCAGTGCAACACTGGGCAGCCCCGTTTATTTTCAGTTTCTATTGCACATCATTTTTTCTTTCTTCCTTGGCTCGAAAAATCTTTTGTCAATGTTATAAACAAACATTTCTCATAAGTAGTATGTACACTGTCGTAACAGACTCTAAGAGGTTTTAAGGTAAGTTGCTCGGTTCCAGGGGGTCGCATGTGTGTGCACAGGCTTTTACTGTCTTACAAAGACTTCCATGTAGCGAAATTGGTGTGGGGAAGTGAATTCTCTATACTCCATCTTTGAGGGTCGTTCACACAGTAGCATCTGACCACGTTATGAGAGCTTACTTAGAGTCAGAGACGTATATTGGGATAGCTTGGCCAGTGGGTG